ATTGCTGTGTTATGTCTGTCATCGTTTAGGCCTATTTGAAGTTTTGGACGGAACTTGGCTCAGTGATTTGGAACTAATTACCAGATAACCGTCGCGATTCTGACAGTTTATATTCATAGTTATTAATGTAGTGAACGATTAATCAAAAGATATGACGTATTCAGTACTTAGTGTGATTGGCTTTATGATTGAAGGTTACGCCCTAGAGTCTTTTACTGTTTTGTAATTGGTTAGAGTTTTGAAAATGAATAAAGAGAGTTTGAGTTGGTCTTGGCGAATACTCCACGACAGAGGCAGTCGAGAGTCCAGTCCAGGGGCGAGCCTTGAGGCAGTCCAGTCTTGGGCGAGTCTTGGTTCAGCCTTGTGAGAGTCTTGGGGACTTTTCCCCAGGGCGCTGTGTCTTATAGAGTGCTCCAAAAGATCGACTAAGACGAGAGCTGAAACGTATTTCGTTGTGTGTGCCTTATTTGACTGTAAAGTTAAAGTGACTTTCCCGATCCCGTACCTCAAGGGGACGCGATAGAGAGACGAGACGAGTTTCCCCCCTGACACGTGTAGAGAACCCGATTAACAACTAGGGTGATTATGATTTTATTTTCGGTTTTCCAGTCGCGAACTGTGTTCGTAGATGTTTGTGCCGGCACCGTGTGGGTGTTATTATGACTCTTTCCACCTGCTGCCGCGTCTACAATATCACTCGTTGCATTTGACGTTTCAGCAACGGGAATTTGAAATGATGGCTTCTTCAAACAACGAATCAAACGCCTTTGCTTTACAGCGATATGTGCAAGTTTCCCATACACTATTGCTATCACAGTGATTGGTAAATAAAATACACACACGGCGACAAATGCTAAGTGCGATTTTGCTAAGAATGACAAGGCCGTGCAAAAATGAACCGTTACACCGGCTTCAGGTGCCCATCAAATGACGGGCAGAAGACAGACAACAGCCCCGATGATTGAGACGGATGCTATCAATAAAATACACCGTGACTGCGTCATAAATACTGGGTACTTCAACGGCTTCATGATTCTCAAATACCGATCAAGGGTCATTGCCAAAAGCAGAAATATCAAAATTCCCCACAAGACTATTGTGAAACAAGAAAATAAAGTGGATCCCCAAAGCGAACTGAAGACTTTGCTATAGAATGATGAAACCACGATATCAATTACTGGGTCTAAACCTATAAACACATCGCATATTGACAATGCTATTATGAAGTAATACTGAGGTTCTCGTAAATTTCGCGTACGTATTAACACAGACACGATTATTAGAGAATTGCCGAGTAATATTACGAGCGCCATCATCGGCATGATAATGAAATAGACATACATGAACAATAGTCTGGT